CCCTAGCAGCAACAAACATGTCACTTGCTATTGAAGATTACCAATTGTGGTATGCATAATATTTCTCTAAAAGCTCGAAGACATTCCTTCCATAATCGGGAATAGATGCCAGAAATTCTAAGCATTGTAAGAGACTCAATATTGATCATTGAGGACTGCAATGTTTATTGTCACTACATGCCCAATCATAAGAAAAACTAACTAAGGAAAGACCACTCAAATAAAAACAGAACAAGAAACACGTAAAAAACTTTTCTTCCACTCATAGAAACATTTATTTACCGGATTTTACGTGAATGATTAATACTACATAGTAGCACACGCTTCTAGATTTAACATCAATTGATAGAGAATAACTGATTACTGTAAAACAAAATCACGAAATAATCAATCTTAGCATCTACGTCATAAGCATAGCATGAAATTATTCGATAGTTCATATTTCCTGCCTTATGTTGAGCGGCAGCTGCTTCTACTCAATGCCTCATTGTCATTCAATCATAATTTGATTCATATGATAACTTAGTATTGAATAAATTTAACATTTTAATAACATCAGTTGCCACGCGAGAACATATTGAATCCTAAATTTCAAAATATTTTACTGATGGAACATAATTCATAGAAGAAGAAGAAGAATGATGACAATGAAGTTCGATTAGGCGTAATAATCAATGATAAGATCGGGTTAAGTAATAAGATCTTAATGAAAACAGAAACATGGAACCGGGATCGTGATAATACACGTTTTTGACGATGATGATGGTGACCGACTCATGGTGATCATAAAGACGTCAATGATCCTTTCCGTGAGCAAAGATAAACTATCGAAAATCCGACTGATCTGCATATTTGGAGTATAAACATGTATGTAAACATGCAGCTTATTTTTTTTTATTTCGCATGATGGCTCCCATGCAGTCGAAGAAACAACATTATTTTATCTTATAGTAATATTTATATTATCTAATAAATTGTACTTTGTATAACTGAAAAATATTAGCAAAATACTCAGAAATAATTAAATCCTTTCTTGTAAACGTCATTTTGAAATTTTGTTTTTATTAGTGATGCTTTGAATATTTCGCAATGTTCACGTTTATTCGAATAACTTACAGTATGAGAATACGAATAAAACTAGTTTTTTTCAATATCATTCGAGAAAAGCGGCCAACAATAGCACTACAATATTTCAGATTATTAAAATTCTGAAGAACTTTATATTTTAATAAATATTGCAAAAAAAAACGTACGACAGGTAACTATTTGTTCTATATATCTGTACAATCTTAACATTTTCCGATGAATTCGAGTAAAAAAATGCTACAAAAAGCTGAGGAGCACTCTATCGTTCTACTGACTACATTCTACAGGATAAAGTTCATCCATATTTCATCATGATCTACTGCACATGCATTTCCTGAAGAAAAACGCAAGCGTTACATTTTGGCTTTGCTTTGTTTTTCATGGGAATATGAAATAAACACTTTTATTTTCAATCCAACGTTTTTTGTTTCAAGAGTTCTCTTTCATCACTATACTATCAATACGATGGAGTTCATTAAACAAACGAAAATGAATGATTTTTTTCTAGATTCAAAAATCAATGAAATGATCTACATGGTGTCGAAATTCGAATGATTAATTAGCCATATTTATTCTTTATACCTGAAATTTCTATCTCATTTATTTCATCAATTTTGCATTGTACAGTATGTAAGCAATCTATATATGATATTTATAAACAACGAATTAGACTGAAATCATTGATCATGCGTGATTCATCAAATATCTCTCTAAGAATTTCGATTATAGAATCATATAAGTTATTCAATAGTATAGCGAAAAACAAATTGAAGACGATCACATTGACTCTTATCTTCTTTACATTTAAATTTAGTTTGTAAACACTTTCGTGTAGAGAGATTATGAATTGGAATCTAAATAGAACTGAGTCATAGTAGACATATTAACGATCGAATTTAGCCTCTAGTCTTATTGATATCTCAGTGATTAGTAGAGATGTAAAGCAAATAATCGACATTGTATTAAACAAAAACAAACATATATTGTGTAATTGATGTTATAAAAGAATGTTGAACATGATCAGCCATACTATTTGCTTGCATCTTCAACATGTACATAACATCAAGTTTTACTCATTGATCAATGCATTTACATTTCGTCCCTCTGACTCCATATAATGCTTGACGAACTGGCCAGTTCTTAGAGATTATTGAACAGGCTGATAAATAAATAAAAACTCATCGTCAGAGACAGATACAGTTCATTCGATGATCAATCGATGTGAATTTAATTCATCGCAAACACAAAGACACTTGCAAGAAGTAACCGAAAAATAGGGTCTACCTTTCAAAAGCTGATTAAATCTGTATAGGTAGGAGAGGCGACCCTAGATATTCAATATGTAAATATAAACATATTTACATATGTTATATACGAGTGTCAGGTCAAGACAACACCCGTGCTATGCAAATTCATTCACACCTGTAATAAAGTTTAAGGTGGATCATTAAAATTTTCATCTAATAAAGATCGTTTGAGAAATGGATTTTGAAAAAGATGACCGTAATGAAATAACACTTCTTCATCTGTTTTTTCTAAAATAAGTTCACTTGATGATGTTGGAGTATTTAATAAAAATTTGTTTATCTAAGGAATTTCTTTTATCTTACCTTTGGTCTCTCACAACAATCAGAAGTTATGTCAATGAAAAGTACGACAACCATCAGAATTACCAAGGACAAAATTTACCTCTTTTTTACCGTTTTATCTTGGATGCAGCAAAAAGCAAGAACACTGAAGTTTGATTTTAGTTAAAACTAACAATAGAATTTTAGATAAAAAAAAAAGACAAAATCAATCTGTCATCGAGTCTACACAGATGTAAGTATCTCAAAATGAGATGCATTTACATAATGTTTACAGCATGTCGTCTTTTGAGAGCTGGAAAACATCCCCCAAAATCGAGAAACTGTTCCTGGTACAGCAGAAATCGTTTACCCAAAAAAAGTCAAGAAGAAACACTTCATCAGGCACGCACTCCTTTCTAAGCAGAAGTTCACACAAAAGCAGAGAGACATGGATCATCTCCTTATCGACCCTCAGACAAAATTCAACCAGAAACGGTATTATTCCAGCAGAAATGGTATTATTTTAAAGAGAAATGGTTGAACCGTTTTTCCTCTTACAAGGAGAAATTGATGAGATACTAGGAGATATTGGTTCTTTTTTTTCGCCTTATTGAGGAGTTTTGTATGTGAAAGAAAATGTTTGTTTCTCTTGAAAGATAAGTTTAGGTTGATGATTTTATCCAAAGGTATGTTGTAAATTCTTATGATACCGAATAACTTTGGACCCATTATATTGTAAATTGTAATTGAAACCGATAGTGATATAATAAACAGGATACATTATCGGCATAGTAAAGTATTGGTATCTAAATAATTGATTTTCTGAAGAACAACATATATATATATATATATATATATATATAGTGTAGGATGAGCCCATAAACAAATGTGAAAGAACTTTCCTTATGATAGTGGGATTAATACAGTATGTTAGTGAAAATATCCAAACAATGGATGAAAAATGTTCACTTTTACAAAAGAAAAATCTTTTGACCTCTACGTTGCAGCTTGTCGTGTCGAAGTTACACTTTTTGTCGAAGTTTAACCTCGGCACGACATATATATATATACATGAATTAGCTTTTTCCATTTCTCCTTGCTATGCGTATTTTTTGTGGGTGATCCATTTCTGCTTAAAGTGGAACAGTTTCCCGATCGATTGGTGCTGTTGTCCACTGCTGTCGTGTTAGGAGCAATTATTTGTGCAATTTTTATTTTCACCATAAATGAAGCCTATTTATGATTTGAGACTATCCTCATCAACAAAAATAGACAAGAATAGAATAGCAAAAGAAAAAGAAACCACAAAGTAACGAAAATGAATTGAAGAATAATAAATAAGCACCGTCGAAAAATAACACAAACCAATGACACTAGTAGATTTCTGGACAATTGGCCCAATTTCTTTGCCAATATTTTTCATTCGATACCCATACATCTTGTCCTGTTACTGTGTGTTTAATAAGACGAAACCATCTAATATTTATGTATTAAAGACAAAAACAAATATAGATCTACTTAATATATTCTAAAAATGTATACCTTGGTTGCCATTCTTCTCGACGTTTTTCCATGGCTCGTCTTACTGCACGTTGTTTTTCTTCTAGGCGGTCTTTTTCTTGTCCAGCCGAATCAATATCGCCTTCTTCCATTTTACGAATATCTGGACGAAATCGTGAATCAGTCGGTGGTAATGATGATCGATTATTTTTATTTTCTTCTGTTAATTGATTAAGTGCCATGGTGAATAAAGAGAAATTATAATACTAAGAAAGGAAATTTTTTTTAAAAACAACGATATTCTTTTGATTAAGTTACTTGTAATCCATATTCTAATTTTGGCATAATTCTCCAAAGTGTAAGAGAATTTGGTGGAAGATTCAGCTGTTCATGGGATGGATCAACATCAGGCAATTCTTCATCTAGGTCAGTATTATCGGTATCATTTGTAGCTGTCGTTGGTGAATTCGTTATTTGTTGTTGATGACATTTCGATGCACTTTTTGCTTCTTTCTTTTGTTGTTTTAAAAATACTTCAAAACGTTCAATATCAATTGAATATAATGAATCCGTCCAATAACCGTATAAACCACGTAATTTATGTTTTCTAAACAAAATTCAATGAATTAATCATTACTGTTAAAGTTAAATTCTAATATCTTACTGTGAATCGAAAATAAAGCCTTCTACTTTATGTAATTCCTTTGATGACCATGAATATGGCTTAAAATTAAGTATAGCTTTCATTTTATTCGAATGATTAATTATTTCCATAGTACCATGCTTTATTTAAATAAAAAGAAAACAGCAATTAAATATTACTACTCAACTTAGTAAGCTTGGTTGAGTTGGAATAGATTAATTTTATGTATTAACTTCGAGTGTATCAAACTTTTGTCAAATTTCCATGTACTGAGCATTCATATAATGAAGATATTTCTTCAGAAACATCTATAGTAAGTCTTAGAAAATAAATAATATTATAGTATGCTGAACTCTATATCACAGTTCAAGTAATTATCAACGCTACAGTATTTTCAAAGGCTGAATAGTATCGAGCTGAAAATGTTTATACGAGAAAAATAGTATTTTAAACTAGACGAGGAGACTTATGAGAATACGCAAAAGATTATTTTCTTTTAAATACTTGTCAGACATGTATAGTTTCTTCTATAAAATCCTGTATGAATTGAGGTGGAATAATGAAAACAAAAATTTGTAAAAGAAAGAAAAGAAATAAGAAATCATCTTCTTGAGTGTCCTTATGAATCCTCAAGTAGAAATATATATATTAGCCTTTAGAAAAAAAAGTTATTTATGTCAGCCAATGAAGAAATCTGTGCTAATAATTAGTGTCTAGAAATTCTACGAGAATCATTAAGTATTGTTAAAATATCGTCAATACATTCCATCGCCTCATGTACAAATATAGACTATTCTAGCAGATGATCTTGCAAGTTAACGACAAGTTCTTTCCACTGCGGGACAAATAAAGCGCGATAGTGTGTACCAATTGGTAAAAGATCATGTTTTTACTCTTTAAAATATATCATGTCGTTAAGCAATAACCTAAGCATAAGAAAAGGAACTAATGTCAAGTGGAAAAAATGATAATCATAAGAAATGCTAATTAAAACAAATTGAGGTGCAAAATTTAAACACCTATCAAGACAAATTTAATCATTAAGAACAATTGTCAATATGTGAAATTGTTCAAGACGTGGAAAAATTGAATACAAGTCAATTTTCTATAAATCATGCAATGCACTTTATACAGCTCTACAAAATAATGCTTAACGTATAATTATTTTTACAGTCTATTTAAATAATTTCTAAAGTTAAGATTCACTTACATATTCAAACCAAAGTCGTCCAACGACAATATTATGAATTGTACATGTTACACTTTCCCATGTATAAATTTCTCTATGTCTACAAAAACAAAAGAAAAAGAAAATTTTCCAACGTAAAAATTCTTCATGGGCTCGTTTAGAGTTTACCGTTTAAGTTCAAGTGTTAATAAACCTTTTGGATTAACTTCCATGCGTTTAACAGAAAATTTAGCTTTAGGTAAAATGCTTCCATAAAATCGCCAACGTTCACCGTTATCTTTTGATTCACATAGGAATGCACTTACTGGTGGATGATGGCTTACTTGTTCGCTCATGTAACGAAATGGTAAATCATCTCTAGCAGAAAACAAAACAATGAATTAAACTTAACAACTAAACTGTTTCAACTCACTGAACAAATTCGTATGTTTCACCCAGTAATGGATTAAATGGTTTCGATAAACGATCGATATTACTCGATATGGATGAAGCAGCAAATGCTGCAACATACTTTTAATCAAAGAAATTCATTAGGATAAAAATTTCATGAAATATGAAAAAAAAGATATATACCTGCATTCTCATTATAGGATCAGTACATTCATCAGCACGGTCAAGTAAATATGAGTAAAGAACATTTTCAGAAAAACGTTGAAGAAATGATATTGGTTCATTCCATACAATAGGCATTGATACTTTGGATAATTCCTACAAGAAATTTACATATTAAAAATTGTCTACAGTGACTTTGTTTTTATAATTAGAGAAACAATCTCAACTTCTAACTACAGTCATTGCTCGGAGAAAAGTGTTGTTGTTGATAGTTTCTTTCATATGAATACTGAGATTTTCAATAAGACTTATGTAAAAACTATTAATTTAATCCTAAATAATTCATTAATAAAAACATGTCTATTTTCAAAATTCAAACTGATTAATGAAACTAATGGAAAGTCGACTATGCCTAAAAACTAGCGTGCATAACTCTATTTTGATCTATATTCCCAAACTTGCTTTCCTTCTTTCAATAGTAGATAATTCTATAGTAAATTAAATTATTTACTTTTCCAATACATTGCTTAAGTATACTCCAAATGCTAATTGACGATCGATCAAACATTGGCACGGGGAGTTTTGTTCTAAATAGAATAATTGAAAAGGGTGAATTTTTCTTTGAAATAAAAGCATATATTAATCATTCAGAAATTGTAATGTAAACGTACCTGCGGCCACTTCTCTGTAGTATAACAGATAAGTTATCCATATGTGTTGCAGTCATAATGTAACAAGTTGTGTGAAAGGGTAGAAAATAAAAGCTTTCTATAATATTGATTTTTATTATAAATTACATCTCATTTATGACCGAATCAAATGTATTTTATCATCGAATACTTTAAGGTCGAATAAGAAAGAAAAATGGAGAAATTCAATTGCTATTATATATGTCTATGATTTTTCGAAAGAGTACAGAATTCATTTATGTGTTTCGTTTTCATTCGAAAGAATAATCTATGAAATGAGGTTTTTGTTGTTGTTGTTGTTGTTGAGTATTAACCTATTCAAGAGAAGTGACAATCTTATCGAAAAAAAGCCGATGCTTGCTAATTTATATAGTCCTCTGTTCTTCTTACTATTATCACGCCACCTACTCTTCAAGCTTCTGCTTGCATCTACAACAACGTTAGAAAAAGAAAAAAATGAGTTAGAAAGAGAAAGATAATATATGAGATGATTAGAAAGTGTTACTTATAAAAAGAAAAAGAAATGAGAAAATAATTGTCCTGCAAGCTATGTATAGCCTTTGTTGTAAAGAAGGAAAAAATTGAAATCATATGCTTAGATTCAACGTACCTGCCAAATTGTTGACGAGCAAAATTATTCCAAGTTCGCATTAGTTCTCGTTGAATATCAGTGTTATATTGATCAATATCTAGGTATCAAAATAAAAGAAATAGAAACAATTTGATTTTCTAGCGTTCTACGTTCATTTCGATTATGTCATAGTAGATTTCGTTTTTTAAAGTGTATTCAAGAAAATAATAATAAACGATGACAGCTGGTCATAGAATAATTCTAAGAAAAACGCATAATGCAATACTCGATTAAATCAAATGAAAATCATAAAAGTAGAACTATCATTAATTCATACGAGACATTTGCATGGGTACATTAAACACTTCGCATATTCTCGATTTATTACCACATATGTTTAACATGTGTGCGTTCTGATTCTCAACTTTAGATATCAGAACAATTGAAAAAGATAGTTTTGTTGATTTTCACTAGCTTTTAGTCATTGCAAGATTTTGTATGGAAATTTTCCAACGATTTATAAATGATGGTCAAGAATTTTGCTCATTGTACCGAAGCAATCTGCCTATTCGAGTATCTCTATTTAATTATTTATAGTTTAACGCAGAATGACGTAGAACTAACCTTCAGATAAAAAATGAATACGGCCTTTCAATGTTGTAGAAGAATATAAGCTTTTCAAAAGTACGTGACAATTTACAGATTTACACTATTCTATTTAAACTAAAGATTTAATCGAACAAGAGGTTTTTCCTTTTATATGACATTAGGCATGTTGAATATAATGAATGAATAAGTAATTTATTAAATTAATATAGAACAAAATTCTATATAATATAAATAATATTATTTATTATAATGGCTACATTTTATTTTACAAACATAAGAAAACAGTTTTACAAATAATTCATATTATAATATTAAGCGCATTAATCAAAAATAGAAATGTGATAAGACTTTGCTTGCAGATTGGTTATTTCAATGCAGACGCACAAGTTTTTGTTATCTCTATTGTCAAACAGTCAAGATTTCTTTTCATTAAATTTTACTATTTTATAATAAAGTATTTAAAAAGCAATTGAATGAGACGCACCTCAATTATTTTTAATTACAAGTACGCAATCGAAATGATTCAAGTATATCAATTTATTATGTTTATCTAATGATAACAGATATTCTCATGACTCTTCAGGCATCATTAAATCAATAGAGTTAGAAAGGAAGAAGAGCTTTTGCTGACTAACTAAAACATCATCAGGTGAAACATATGAGTTGATTAACACATCAAATAAATTATGCATTATCAACATGAAAATTCTCATTATGTTTATGGATGTTTTATATTGCTTAATGATTAGTAGGATTTTTTTATTGAAAATATGAATATTATATGACTCAGAAAGCAGAAGCCTCGTTGCGCAACAAGCACAAAAAGTCTGTAGATGTTTCTTATAGTGATTTTTTCTTAAATTAACTTCCTATATGTAAAAATAAACAGAATAAATCTCTTGAGTATATTGTCTTTTTAAAGTGTCCTTGATTAATCTAATTCATTTTTCTTTATAAACGAAAACTCAAACTCAAAAGGCTGGTTATACAACTCTACAAAGAGAAAAGAAAATTATAAACGATTGTAAAAGAAAACGTCTAAAACAAACTGCTAAAAAAAATATTTTCATCAATAACAACATGGTAGGTTCCCTGATAAACGTAGAAGCCAAGTTTTTTTCTCGATAACAACTTGTTTAAAAGAAAAAGAAACTTCGATGAATTTCTTTTGTTTAAAAGTATTTTACTTGTTAACATGATATATTTGTCAACCAGTATTTTAAATAAATACTTATTCTGTGTTAATATTTACTAATAAGAATGAAAATGATCGTTTTCAAACGATTTATTTAGGATCACATGAAGAAGAAAAAAAGAGTTTTCAAAACTTTACGTACCATTAGCATCGAAAAATTCGTCATCACTAGTTTGGTCAGTCATTCTTTTAGTCTAAATTTGTTGTTTTTTTTTATAAATTAATTCTAAATAATAATTCTAATCAATAATATTAATTAAAAATAATTTTCGGCATGCATTTTTTCATATATACTTATTAAAATATTTTTCTAATGATGAAATATATTGACATTAATTTGAATGAATAAATCTGGAAATAATGAGAATACAAAAGAAGAAATATGTTACGTTTTCTTTTATTGAGAATCGTTAAGAGAAACGTTATTTCGAATGTTTCAGCATTGACAACGTGGGTTTAATGTAAGCTTGAAAAAAACTGAGAGAGAAAGCGTTCTCTTACTCGTTTTTTTTCCGTTTTCTTTCCTCTTTTGTCGCTGCTATCTTTTATCATATGCTGACATTAGCATCCACTTTTTTTTTCGTCGTCCTTTGGCACATTGTTTTTTGGCAATGCCAATGAATGTTTGTGGACAACAGACACAGGTGATATGTAAATATCACCAAAAATAAAGTGATTCGGTATGCGATGAAAGAAAAAAAAAGAGCGAGAGAAAGAAAGAAACACTAGATGCAAGTTTGTTGCTGTTAAGTTTTCTTTCTTCCTCTGCCCTATTTTTCTTTTTCGTTCGATTGAACGTAATTTACTTAGAAGGATCAACGATCGGATTGAAACTATGTAAGAGAGTAACAAGGAGAAATTCATTATGCACGAGAACGTATGTTCGTGTGTTTACATTATACATTCGTATGCGAGCATGAATTTTGTTATTGAATTTCAAGAAAAAAGATAAATTTGAAAAGAAAACTAGCTAAAACCTTTTTTGAAATTTTGTGTCAATCACAGAAGTGGTTAGCACATGCATCGAGGGGCCACCACGAGGCAATTGGTGGCAGTTGCCACATCTGACAAAAATATTGCCGTACGTGAAAAAAATATTAATAGTATCTATACGCATCGGTGGATCACTCCACACGCAATTTTCACACCTGAGAATATTATTAGTGGCATATATCTATCTGTATATACACATACGTCACATCTAAAACATGTCTTTCTTTATATAAAAAAAAAAAGAAGCTAGGCGTTACTATTTATTACTACACCTCCATATCAGACGCTGGCTCGCCAATGAGTACATGTGAGCTAAGTGAACTTTTGTAACTGACGTATGTCATATAGATCAAAGAAAAATAAGTCATAAAATAAGTAACGGAGAAAGAAAACGAGTTTTCTGGTGGTTGCGAAGTTTGGCACGCTACATCTGGTGAAAAGTTAAATAAGGCTAATCAGTCAAAGTAGTCAGGTTTTAGGAAGCAGAAATCTACCAATGAGCAATTAATTACATATTGAAGAGATCAAGTATCTCTAGTACATGAAATCATGAATTGTGCACGTTTACTTAAAGAATATTTTATTAGCTTTTCTTATGCAGCTATTGTCTTTGATGAAACAAAACAAGTACTATAAATTCATCTGAATCTTGGATTTTCGAATGCTTCTTAAATCAACGTCAAATAAAAAATAACACGAAAGATAGTAACCCAGGATTGAACAAGTATCAAATTATCCATGTCAACTACAGTAAATATTCATAAATCGGTGTTTTCTTAGCAGGACGTATTTCAAAATCATAAGTGTCTTGCAATCATTTATACCATATGATCGATCACAATTACAGTGAGATTTTTCTTAGCAACATAGTAAAAATTCGGCATAAGAGTTTCTATGATTTTTTTGATGTTATTCCTATGAGAATTTAAATTGTTCTTTTTTAATTAAAAAATTCAGTCGTAAATAAATAATGAGAATTTTTCTAGATACTAAAAAGAAAGCGGTTAGTGCAATCCCTGTGGGATTAAAATGTGAAACACGATGAAACTCCTTTTCTGGAATCCATCTATCACTGTGTGTGATGGTCTGTGACGCTTCTCTGTCACTGTCTATACTATGGTGTATGGAGTCTCTAGAAACCATCACAGATCGTGGCAGAAACCTCAAAAGCCATCACAGACCGTGACAGAGAAATAAATAAATAACTAATTAATTAACTTCTCTGTCCCGGTCTGTGGGGGTGGGGGCAGGGGAAGGGTCCAAATTTCTACCATATATACTTCAAAACTCCTTTCAGATCGTGTTTCACAAAAAGGAAGAGGATACGATGTGTTGTGTTATTTTGTTTCTATTTACACTGAAATTTTCTCCACTCGTTGTTAATAGTTGAAAAGTTTTTTCAATGGTCATTGTTTCATTAATTAAAATGTCTTGCTTCAAATCAATAAAAAGAAAGATTCTAGTTGCAAAGATTGAACACTTCTATGAAACATTTTGATAGAAACCAAGATTTGACTAGACACATTCCCTCTATATATACAAGAGCAAAAAGATGACGCTCTGTTATGATTCATGTCTACTCAGTTATTTTCTATTTTTTAACGTTACCGACCAATGATCTATCGGCGACACGGAAAAATGATTCAGTCATACACAGAAATTGAGAAAGAAAAAAAGCTATTGCAAAGAAAGAACACGAAATTCTCTTTTTTTTTGTCTACGGTGTTGTTTATTTTTTATTTTAAGATTTTTTTATTATTATGACAAATGGCTTGAGAAGTACTTGAAAAAGAAAACTTGCGATCATGGGCAGTGGATCAACGAAAATCTTATCATTTGATGATGCTGCAAAACGATGTAGAAAATTTGAAAGACTTCGAAATATGATTGTAATCTTCTGTTATATTATTTTATTTTCAGTTCTACAAGCTGATCTAGAACGGATAGAGACAACATTCCGAGATTTAACCAATGGAACGGGTGAACTGAGTTTTACAAATTTTAAACGTGATGTTTTTGCATATTTTCTGCCGGAAAAATTAGCTAATGTATGTTCTTTTTCTCTTCTTCTAATTTTCGACTTTGCAGTTATATCAATAAATTTTTCTTTTATTTAGCGATTGTATCAAGTATGTACGAATTCATCGAGAGCTTGCATGTCATATAAAGATCTTATTTGTTGCTTGGCATTAATTTACTATGGTACATCCAAAGAACGAATGCAACGTGAGATTGCTTTGTTGTTGTGAATTGTGCATATGGAATCAATTTTTTATTTAGTTCTTTATTCATTGTTTGCCAATAATATATCAAATAGTAATGGTATATTACGTTGGCAAGACGTTGAAGATTTCCTTTCACAATGTGGTGATCATCCACCTGAAGAACTCGATAAAATATTTCAAAATGTATGTATGATTAATTATAAATAGACAATATTGAACTACTGAATCAGTATTAAACGAACTATTCAGTGACGATAGATAATAAACATTTATTTGTTGAGATGGAAAACTGTAAGAAAAAATGTCTTTTCATAGATTATTACCCTTATCATTTTTTACAGCTACGATAAATCTATTACGCATATCGAAAGTTTGCCATTGATAAATATTCTATTTTTACGTCAATGAGTTAGAAGCTATAGATATTCAGATTTATCTAAATCCAGGTCGAACTTTGACTATAGGTTTTACAAAATTTTTAAAGAAAATATTTTAAATTTTGAAGAGAATCCTTTAAAAATATCCAACTTTCGTTTAATCGAACTTAGTCTAGTCGAGTTCTTTAAATGTAAAAACTGAAAATTCCAAAAAAAAAACAGAATAAGGTTTCAACATGCAATGTATCTATTAAACCGTAATATGAATTCCTTCTGTTCCTATATTTTATTATTAGAAAATTGATTTTTGACTATAGCTAAAATAGCAAGAAGCCATATGAGAACATTTTCTTGCAAAACCTTTTCTTATCATAATTGGTAACAATCTAGTTGAATTGTAAATAGTCAATAATCAAGCTTTCGAACTTCCGACTTATTGTTTACATAAAGAAATTTAATGTTTTTTTCTCTTAATAGCATGATGAAATTGTAACGCAGGAAAAATTTCTCGAATGGTTAAAACTTCATCATGGACATACAACAACCATCACCGATTGGTTGATGGATGAACAACGTTTACATGAGTTAATATCATCACCAATCGATAGATCATCAGATCAATATTCAATTTTAGCTGGTGTAACACATTGTGAGAAGATTAAAACGAAAAGAAACAATATAATTTTGATTATTTTTTCAATTTAAATTAGTATCAGATATAGAGGTAAAAGAATTAGAGAAAAGCTATTATTCATGCACATATTCAACGACGAATCGGCAACAACAAATTACACTAGAAACGTTCTCAAATTTATTATCACCCGTTCTTCCGCCAATACTTATTCCAGGCTTTTTTGATGCTTTCGATGAAAATCGTGATGGTAAGAAAAAGAAAGTTCTTTTGGAAAAGAAAACATGAATTATTCGATTATTGATTATAGGATGTATTGATTTTAAAGAATTTGTTTGTGGAATCAGCGCAGCTTGTCGTGGGCCATACTTTGAAAGATATAAATGTAAGTTATGATGTGTAGATAGATGAAAATTTTCTATGTTTTAATTAAGACTATTTATCATTTTAATAAGAGATATTCTATTATTGAATAAGTTTTAAACAAATGAATAAACTATGATTACATGACACACTCTGTAATACATTTGTTAAAGTCTATTCGTAGAAAATATAATATAGCTCATTATAATCAGGGTTGCCACCTGATGAAGTCTAAAAAGCGGAAGCTTATATTGTTCCAGATTTGTAATGCTTCTGAGAATATTAGTCATTTTTTGCATATTCATTGGATTTCTTTTTATTTCATCAAAGTTCCAAACATAAAAGAATCACGACTCACGGTATTTGTAAACAATAAGAATTGATTCAATAATATCAAATATTATTCTGTACGTATGTTTGATATGCAACACGTTTTATACGAAAAAGCAGAACAGCGGAAGAGATGGCAACCCTGATTATAATCCGCGACACATGATAGTATCTGTTTATTGATAGTTAGAAAACGGAAGAAATCTTTTTTTGCTACAGATGTCTGTCATATTTCATAGTTTTGAATGTCGTAAAAAATGCAATCTTTATTTATCTTCAACATTATTTTAAAACATAACTCGTAGATATACTCTATAGTGTATGGTATTTACTCGTCAAAGCCTTTTCTCACATGAGGATGAGTCTATTGTAGTAAAGTCAATTGAAAAACTAAAGATTCATATGAATTATTTGCATCAAAGATGATTGATTCGAAAGCCCTTTGATCCTGCAAAGATATTATCTTTCAAAGAACAGTCCAGAAATTAGTACATACTTGAGTTTATCTAATCTTCGCTACTTTCTTTCATACTTCGAGGTTGTGCTTGGTACTTCAGAAAAATTTCTACAGTATAAAAAGGTGAAACAAGCTGGAAGTTGTCTTGCTAATCACCGGATAATTTTTTAACTATTTCTGTTTTCAAATGAATTTCTTCAGCACAATTGCACGGAGTTCTCAAAAAACAGACAAGCCATTATGATAATAGAGCAAGACGTTATTAATATATATTTCATCATCATACATATCAAAAGCGTTCGTTGCTAACTGGGCGCAGAGACGAGATTTCTACATTCTTTTGCTCTACGAATTTCAGCATTTCTTTTTACATGATGTTTCAGAAAAAGATCATACAAAAGTAGGATTGATATGGTTTCTTTATATCGATACATGTGTTTTTTCTTCTCTCTCATACGCACAAAAAAAGTCACGTTAATAAAACTCGTCTAACTGATGAGAAACCTATTATAAGAAGAAGAAGAAGAAAAAACAAACGAACAAACATTTATTTTAATTGAGTTTTTAAAAATATTTGTGAGATAACTAAATGTATCTGTTTACATAATTTCACATCGCAATTTTTTTCTATTCATTCGTTTTTGTTCAAATAAAAATTTGTTCATACCTCGACAATAATTCAACGGAGATTTATCTTCTTGCAATAAAACATTAAGGTTATTATTGGAATATTTTTATTAAAGTATGCGTATATGAGAGTGCGATCTAAATTTCACTGATAAGACATTTAGCGAAACAATACGTTTTCATGGGAAGATTCATTTTTTAAGAATAATTATTTATCAAAACAAAAACTTTCGAGACTTCTTAAATCTAATTGCTTATCTGTAAAGTTTCCGGGTCTAATTTAATGTAGATTATACAATATTTATTAAGAGATGATGATTTACGGCAGAACTATGTATTCTTTTAATCTAAGTTTATCTATTCCTTTTATATAGTTCTATTCCGTGTATTTGATCGTGATCATCATGGTCGTTTGGATCGCTCTGATATTGTCCATATGTCCTCATGTCTTATTGATGTCGCTCAATTTGTTTATGTCCTTACAATTCATATGAATGATTCACCAGATGTATATGCTGACGATATTTTACAAAATAATGGGGTATAAAAATTTTTGCGAAACATATTTAATATTTACTTGAAACTCTTCCTTATAGAATAACAAAACAAATCAAATAAAATATTTTCAACAAGAAGATTTTTTAAATTGGTGTGCAACAGATGCATTAATACAACAATTGATTGAACTTATATTTCAAATTTGCCATGTTGTACTTGGTTTAAGACCATCGACAAAACAAGAAGAAATAACCATTGTGAAGTATGTTATTTCAAATCTGAAAAAATGATCAAATTCTATTTTAATCTAAAACTTAATTTGATTAGACAATTTCTTCGACGTGAACAGTATCCATTTGTTGAAGCACAATCAGGTGTTTCATCAAAAGCTTATCACTGGATTAATTCTAATCGTTCAACATCGAAACCGGGCTCGTCGTGGTATCTGATTTCAAGGGATTGGTGGCTTCGTTGGGAATCACCAGCAAGCATTAGCTCAACTGAACCAATAGTCACAACAATACAAAAGAAAAATTCTCTCACTAAACTAAACAAATTAACAAGTGGACCTGATAATAAGTAAAACAAGAAACGAATTCATGTGATACATTTTTCTATGATTATTCTTTTAAGACGAGAACCTGGTGATATAGATAATTCTCTACTGATAGATAAAAATTCTCCCAATACTATTCGTGTAGTAAATGATGATTGTGTACAACTTAAATTTGGTCTTCGACGTCATATGCATTTTGAAATGGTACCTGATTTATTATGGCTATTTTTACGTAAATATTATCGTTGTAATGGACCAGGTATATGCAGAAAAGTAACATACAGAAAGAAAATTAATAAACCTGAATTAGATCTTTATCCAGTAAGAATTGTTTTCAAGTTTAATCGGTTTATTATTTTGTTTTTTTCTAAAGCTATTAATTAAAATCTATCGTAATCAAAATCTTTCATCACAACAAATGCAAGCTATAGCAACAAATAATACAACACCGAACAATAATAATAATTCACATTCAATGGACTTTGTTTATCCATTATTAAATTATGTTTCAGCAAGTTTATTTAGTAAGAAAAAATAGCTTTGCTTTTTTGAACTTTAAATTTTGAATACTTTTCAGGTTCAAGCGGAACATCGAATTCCATACCAGCGAATACACAACGACATTATTTAACATGTTCATATTTTGTTAGCCCCTATCAAACAGTTCGATCGCTTGCTGAAGAACTTTCAAAAAAATTTGGAAAACCTCTTGATGAATTAAGAATATGGATTAGATATAGTGAAGTTAGTATACGTTATCAAATATTTGAGTGATGTCACAGTATGATGAATCATGACGAATGTAGTTTTACAGCCAACGAACTTCTATTACTAGCTGGGCAAGAAAACTCCGTTTGTAATGATCTTGTAGGAAGGTTTCATTAGTTTTGATACGATCATATGTAGCTCGAGCGAGTTCAAGTCCGTTTTAGCCTATCGTTGTGACTATGTAATATTAGATAAAATCGCTCATCTTTATGATATGCTCTAGTGACGACTCGCTAGTTATATATTGATAATATCTAATAGTTACGCTTGACATTTCTCTAAATGAGTACTAAATTTCGAATTCGATTCAGTTACGTTATCATAGGGTAATCTATCGAAAATCTTTTGCGCAGCATGTTGATACAATCAATCATTTTCAATTCTTCTTCTTATCATAGTGACATTGAAAGTGTAATTGAATAATTCATACTGGCTTCTTCTAATGATTTATTATTCACTATGCTGATGATAAACAACTTTTGTTTTGTTTTGTTTTGTTATATTTAGTTTTTTCTTTAATTAGAATCCTCACAAACTAGAACTAGACAACATCTTTGTCTATTCAGATTTAATCGAGTAGTTTTGATTTTAATGAATATTTTTTGATTTGAACATATAACCATATTTATCTTAGAATGACCTGCGTCAAATTGATTTTGAATCATCCGATGACCTCGAATGTCAAAGTGCTGGTTTAGAACAAAATATTGATATCTTATTCGAAACACGTAATACTGATTTAACATGGCCTGAGGAATTATACACATTAGCAACGCGTTCAAAAAATGTTGCAGTACAATCATTAGCCTCGAATAATAATAATAACAACAACTCAACTAGCAATGCCGAAGAAGAAGGACGTGGTTTAATTGGTCTATCCAATTTGGGAAATACATGTTTTCTTAATGCAGCTGTACAATGTCTAAGCCATTCATTTCCGTTGACATTTTATTTCCTGCATAAATATCATCTATTTGAAATAAATAAGTAAGCAGAAGAGGCAAACCTTGTAAAAACGAAATTTTAAATATTTTAATTATAGAGATAATCCAATTGGAATGCAAGGTAATATAGCACTTCGTTACGGGCAACTTATTACAAAACTTTGGAGTACTGTTCGAGGACCATTAGCACCGTTTGAATTAAGAGTTAGTTTCAATCATTTATTGCTTTACGGAAAAAAAAACAGTGGTTTATTTTAGGATTCCGTTGCAAAATTCGGTTCATCACGTTTTACAGATTTTCAACAACATGATTCACAAGAATTTCTTTCGTTTTTACTTGATGGTCTACATGAAGATCTTAATCGTGTTCATAACAAGCCGTATGTGGAACTAAAAGATAGTGATAATAGACCCGATGAAACTGTAAAAATATTAAAAAAACAAAACAAAGAATCACAGATTTACCTTTTTTTTTCATTTTTCTTCAAATAGGTTGCTTATGAACATTGGGCTAATCATTTAGCAAGAAATACATCGATTATTGTTGATTTATTTCATGGTTTACTTCGTTCACAAGTGAAATGCAGTGTATGTGAATTAAAAAGTGTTAGATTTGATCCGTTCAATATTTTATCATTGCCATTACCAATGGATACATCGATTTATATTGAAATAAAACGTATGTTAAACGATTTAACAAAGTCGTTAAAAATGCATAGAAAAAATATATATATATATATAAATAATACACAAACAACTTCGAAATGATTTGATTAGGTTTACTTCTTTTTCTACTGCTGTGTACACTGAGAAGAATTCTAATAATGTTTCGAAAAGAGAATTTTATTCCCATATAGAACTTTGTAGGCTGAGCATGGTCAGTAAAGTCTGTGTTCTCCTCAAGTCGCTTAGTGTGATAGAGCAAGCCATCATCTGCCTAATGCAATAATCTTTGAAAGATTTTCCACGCTTTTTCTTAAAATTCAATTACTGTGTGAAATGCACACAAATCATAGTTTTCTCTTAGTTCGTGTGAAAATACTGCTCTTGCACTTTGTGTGGAGTTTTTGTGACTTAGGTAGAACATTTTAGAAGAACATTTTATCACTCTGAGTAATCATAACTAGCAACTCACAGGCTTCGTTGCAAGAAGACAAGCCATTGTTTCTATCTTCAAAAATTCCTCTGCGATATGGTTGTCACTATTTAGTATTTATATTTTCTAGTATCGCTTGAGAGTAGTAAAAATTAATAAAACATCGGATAGAATAATTTTTAAAAACATTTCAACGTGAAAACAGAGAAAGATTGAAATTTTCAATCAAAATAAATATTCAAATAGACAAGATCATAATACTAGATTATTGTTAGCTTAAGAATTATTAATTTCATTTACATTTTGTTACGAATCTCTGATGCTGATTCTAGAATGGTAGATATTTTAATAATCAAGAAATATCAACAACATTGAAAAATCATAGTTTCTCCATCGCAATCTCATTTCGATTATTCGCAGCTCATACGTTTGAGTATTTACGTTATTTGCTGCATATCCGTGAAGTATGATGTTCGACTCTAGGCACTACTGCTAGTCACGGAATGATCTTCGGAAACTCATAGACAGTTGTTTGCGTTGGATCACCGTTTCTATAGCATGGTAATTACGCTGTCACTTGCATTGTTTCTAAAATGGATACACGGCACTCAAATAATAAAGCAAGAGAACGTTGAATCAGATACTCATTTTTGTTCAGTGCTGAAAGTAGTGATATTTGTTTGCAACAAAACACATATTTGAAAATATGAAGAAATAGTTTAAGTTATGCCAAAGAACTCTCTAGTACACCGTAGCACATTAAAACGTTGTTCAACTATGAAAACACTTTGCTCTGTAGTCTTGAGAGTTTTCGTATAAAACTATGCTGGGAAGCCTTCGAGTGATGTCAGATTAGGTAAGAAGAATAGAAAACGACGAGAAAAAAAAATAACGTACACACAAATTGAAGCAAAAGAGTCTAACAGAGTTAAAGAATTCGCCAAATCTAAGTTCGTTTCCATATATCTGTCGCATTATGATTTTTCATTCAACTGAACAAATAATTTATTCATCTATTATTGCAGTTATTCGTCTGGATGGCTCACGACCTACTCGTTACGGTATTAGACTGGACGGTGATTTAGCAGTTAGTCAACTAAAAAGTCAACTATCAACATTATCATCGCTTTCAATCGAACAAATCGGTTTTTTTGAAGTAACAACATCATCTTGTCTTCGACGTTATCCATTAATGGATAATGATCAAACAAAAATCAAACAATTAAATCTTCGTGAATTATTAGCCTATGAATTACCAATAGTTATTAAACCCCCTGAACCATCCGATGATGAAACACCTTCCACAACTCGTTCATTATCATACATTAAAGCAATGCATCGTCGACTGGAACGTCAAGAACGTTATGTATCACCTATGACACGTCATAAAATAATGTTTTTCGGTCAACCAATACTTATTCCTTGTGGTTCCGAAAATAAATTAACCAATGAAGATATTTATAAGATTGTTTTTAAGCAATTGGAACGTTTATTAAGAAAAAATAGTGATTCCGTTTATCTATCTAATCACGCTTTTGATTGTGATGATTCACTTAAAGAACGTTATCCATTTACATTGAAACATGTTAATGAAGATGGAAAAAAATGTTCGATCTGTTCATGGAATCGGTATTATCTATTTCGAAAGGAAATAATTTATTTCATTATTTTATCTTTAGTTTTTGTCTTGGTTGTTCGTTTGAATCAAATAATCAAGAATTTAATTGTAAAAGTGAAAATATTGCCATTGAATGGGAATCATCAGCGTATTATCTTTGTTATTTATCGAATCGTGAACAAGTAAATTATTTTTATATTTATTTTCATCAATATGAATCTTGTTTTTGTTTTGTTTAGGATGTTGAAATTCATCCGAGTGTAAAATCATCTCGTTCACCAAATAATGATTCGATGAATCTCGATGACCTGTCATCGATTGTTCGTTTAGAAGATTGTCTTGAATCATTTATTAAATGGGAAAATCTTGATCATAAAGAAATGTTCAATTGTAAAACATGTCAAAAATTACAACCAGCAGATAAAAAACTGGATATTTGGAAATTACCACCATGTCTAGTAAGTATACGTTTAGGCTTTTTTGTACGATAAATCGATTGAACAAAAACACTAGGGAAAATCAGTTACTACTTTAAGTTTATGTCATAGTTATTATGATGTTTGAATTGACAAATCTGTCAAAATCAGGACAATAAACAAAATTTGTTTTTCCATTATAAAAACAGTTTACCCATTTCACAATGATGTCTCTTCTAATTCTCCTTCTTTTTAAAGACATCTTAAACTGCCAATTCATAGAGGAAAATATTGATTATTTTGATATAGTTAGATTTTCGATTTAAATGAATTATATTTTAATAGATATTTCATATAAAACGTTTTCAACTATCAAATACTCGTTGGATAAAATCCTCTCGACCTGTTCGTTTTCCGATTAAATCATTTCATCCATCGAAATATCTTGCCCAACGGTCTCCCGCAAATACATCAATACAATTTCTTCCTACTGAAGGTGATATAAGCACATCGTCATCGTCATCATTATCATCAATAACAACAACAACTACAACAACACCTGAAGCTGTGTCTTCGTCTTCAATTGATAATATGCTTATTCTATCTCCATCTCGTTTAGTTAATGGTAATCATAATTATATCAAACGGGATAATGAACCCCATAAAGGCTTACCACCACCTGAAAAAATCCATGAAACAATCAAAAAGAAGAAAAAGAAACGTTTTGGACAACGACGTAAAAGAATTGATATTGAAACTTCCGACTCCACTTTACAACCACCAAAATTCAGTCAAATGGCAGATCGTACACTTAGTTTTGGTGACAATAGTTTCGATGCAGACAATGCTGCCTATAATTTATATGCGCTTGTTGTAAGAAAAACAGAAAAAAAAGATCGACTATCTATATTTCTTTACGTTCTATAAATAGTGCCATTATGGAGTTATTGGTGGTGGTCACTATGTAGCGTATGTTAAAAATCATACTAATCAACAATGGTATTGCTTTAATGATAGTTCATGCAAAGTAAAGACTTTTTACGGCCATTTTTTTGACGGATATTTGCAAAGCTAAGATTTTTCTATTCTAGCCTGTTTCCGAAAGTGTACTCGAACAATGTTCATCATCGGCTTATTTATTATTTTATGAACGTGAGTCCCTCGATCATCGTTGTTATATGCCAAATGTGGAAGGAAAAAAACAAGTAGCTAGTGAATTTCAATTGCCAGGCGATGATCGTTGGTGTTCGATAATGTGATTTTGATAATGAACAAAAACCAAACAAATCGTTTTCTTTATTATTAATCGTGATTATTTTTTCCTGTTTTTTTTCTTTTTTTGAAAAATATTTCTCTCCGGTGCTTTTATGTTGTGTTATCAAACAAACAAAAACAAAACAATTTTTTTCTGTTTTTGTTAAATTAAATCTGTGCTTACTTGACCATCGAGCTACTTGGACTCTGTTTGCTTTGTTCTTTGTTTTCCACTTCATTTTTTTTTCATGTACAGCGAATATTAAAAAAAACGAAACACGCGTCTTTATCTGTTTTCCTGATTCTTCTTTCGTTTACTGTTCTTGTGCAAGTCTTATTGAATTGCTTTTGGATTTGTATGCGTGCGTACACAGTTTTAAAAAACAACAACCACGATATTGAAAATGTGATTTTATTCGCAACATTAAATGAATGTTGGCTAAACAACTAGAGATGAATGTGACTAAAATTTTACAATTTGTATAATACTCTATTGTGCATATTCAAGAAATTTCAAAGCCGACAGTAGTTTCATAGTTAGAATCGATTTTAATATTTCAATTATTTACAGTAAACATAGTTCTTCAAAATCTACTCATTTAGAAGAACATGAATGTCTTTTCAAAGTTTCCGTTGCTGTAACGTAATCAACTTAGAAAACGATATAAATTCTAACTGAGTATTGCAGCCGGACCCAATTCTATTTAAAAAGTGTCTCCTATCATATTTTATACTTATGGTATTTCTGTTTTCTCAATCGAATTTCAGACTTTAATTACGTGCTTTTATCTTGAAAATCTTCTTTGCTAGTACCTCGATTTCATAAATGACTTATTTATTCGTCAGTTCAGTTTTGATTATGATCTTGTTTCGCCTAAACTAGTTATGTTTATAGTTACGAGCATTCGTGCATACGATTATTCCTGTATCTTTCTTCGAAAATTGTCATTTGCAAATTAGCTTTAAACATACGATGATGGAACAAAGGAGAGTAACTAATTTTAGTTGTATGGTCGATTTAGCGTCTCACTTTCGTGTATAAATATATATAAAATCCATACAGAGAGAAAAAGAAAGAAAGAGAAAACAGCGTATATGATCAAGTGATTATAAACGTAAATATATGTCATTTTGACGAAGGACACATCCAATTAATCATGAAGAAAATTATGAAACAAAGTCACTCGTAAATAAAAGGTAAAATATTGCGATAACAAGAAAATTCTGCATGATAGTCAAAAATAAAATCAGGCACGATTTTGAAAAGCATGCATTAACAAGTTAACCATCGCTGGGAAAATTCTTTTGCTTAATTCAAAACAGTGCAATCTCTTGAGGCATATTACCTCATCGATATTGATTGATCTATCTAAAAGTCGGATCAACATGGGCAACGTTACACTCCGTATACAGATGATATTTGCATTTGATTCTAAATCTTTATTTTATAAGGGAAAATAGAACCAAAACGAATAGAGAGCAACAAATAATTTAACAACGACAATACAATATATGAATTATATAGATCGAGAGTAACATCACGTATTATCAAATATGTAATCGGAATATTTTTACACAATAAGAACAGTAGCTCAAAGCCAATGTCCATAATATTTCACCTTGGGAGACGATAGGAAAGCAAAGAATGCAATACGCCCTATATAAACAGAGGATAACAACTTACACGTACATATATTATTCATAAGGAAAAAACAAATTCTTATTTAATTCTCGATAAAATTAGAGAGGAGACTGCACTATAAAAAAATTACACTTAAAAATCCATTATAAAATATTGTAAGGAACAAGAACAAGGGTTCTCCGACGGGGGGGGGGGGGGGGCCGGGGGGTTAACCCCCCC